TTTTTTTTTTCTTTAATCTTACAGGTAGCTAATCTTGAAGACCGTGTTTTACTGACCAGTCTACTGATTTCTTCCTGTCTGTCAGGAGCAGATCTTGCTGTGGCTTTGATCATCGTGGAAGTCTGATTGTCTGTGAGCTTCTTTATACATCGCTGTCCTGCCACAATATTGCAGACCTGCCAAGAGGCAAAGAGAAATTTGGTTGTTTAATGGCTTCTATATCTTAAGCCTTTGTCAAACTGTATGTTACATCCTCCATTTCCAGAAAAATAAAAATTCTGTTATACAGTGAAATTAGCTGCCTAAAATGTTTTAGGAATTAATACCACTAGTTAGAAGTCTACTCACCTCCCACCCATCCCCATACACAAAACCATTAAAAAGACTGACAAAAGAAAATTTAGTTTAGCTTACCTCAAGTGGCAAGTAGGTATGCTTTTGTTCTTGTCCCACTTGGAGACACGGAAGATGGGGGTATTTCAACTGCAGACTATATTTTTGCTTAAAATATTGAGCGACTGTACATTCCATAGCTTGACCATTTTCTAGCTGCAAAGGAAAACTATAGCAGAAAATGGCTTTTTAGATATTTCTTCAAGTTCTCTCCTTTCCTAAATAAGTAAATAAAGCCTACTAACATTTTCTACCTTCATCAGTTATTTTAAAAATAAATATCAGCCTTTCTTTGAGCATTTTCACATGTTAATATTTAGCCAGAACGATTTCATTGAATTTTCCATGTTTGTTAACTCTAGGATGAGAAAAAAGAATTAATTAAAAATTTAAAAGAGGCTTGGAGCCTGTGGTTCAAGCGGCTAAGGCGCCAGCCATAAACACCTGAGCTGGCGGATTCAAATCCAGCCTGGGCCCACCAAACAACAATGACGGCTACAACCAAAAAAAGAGCGGGCGTTGTGGTGGGTCCCTATAGTGCCAGCTACTTGGGAGGCTGAGGCAAGAGAATGGCTTAAGCCCAGGAGTTAGAGGTTGCTGTGAGCTGTGATGCCATAGCACTCTACCTGGGGCGATAGCTTGAGGCTCTGTCTCAAAAAAATAAATAAATAAATAAAAATAATAAAAAATAAAAACTTAAAAGAATATTTTAACCAGGCACGGTGTTTCACACTTGTAATCCTAGCGCTCTGGGAGGCCGAAATGGGTGGATTGCTTGAGCTCAGGAATTTGAGACCAGCCTGAGCAAAAGCCAGACGCCATCTCTAAAAATAATCAGTTGTTATGGCGGGCACCTATAGTCTCAGCTACTTGGGATGCTGAGGTAAGAGGATAGCTTGTGCCCAAGAGTTTAAGGTTGCTGTGAGCTATGACGCCACAATACTCTACCAAGGGGCTCAGTGCCTGTGGCTCAAGTGGCTAAGGAGCCAGCCACATACACCTGAGCTGGCGGGTTCGAATCCAGCCAAGTCCGCCAAACAACAATGACAGCTGCAACCAAAAAATAGCCGGGTAGGCACCTGTAGTCCCAGCTACTTTGGAGGTGGAGGCATGAGACTAGCTTAAGCACAGGAGTTGGAGGTTGCTGTGAGCTGTGATACCACAGCACTCTACCCAGGCTGACAACTTGAGGCTCTGTCTCAAAAAAAAAAAAAAAATTACTCTATCAAGGGTGATAAAGTAAGACTCTATCTCCAAAACAAACAAACAAACAAAAAAAAATAGAAAAACT